AAACATCTTCCCAAAACACTCTCCTCTTCTTTCCCTTTTTCCAAAGGGTTGATTCTTGTGGAGTCTCAGAGGTGGTGTCTACTGTGGTGTGCAGGCAACTGCCTGAAGGTCATGTCCAAGTTCTCATGTCATTCATGGGGTTACAACTCACCTTGCATCTCTCTTCTCCAGCACGTGCAAGAAATGAGGCTTGACTCCTGGAAAAGGGTAGATTTCTTCCCATCATGTCTAGCTAGTGTCTAACTGTTTGCAATTAGTCCATGGCTCCTTTTTTTTCTCCTCTCTCCATAGAAGGGAAGAATAATTGGAAGCTATTTCAGGAGGAAAGGAAATCTTTCTGTCACTGCACCGCTCACTCTTCCCTGAATGTACCCCTTTTTCCCTCCTTCCCTTCCATTTGCACTCTCATCACTCCTTTTCTTAGCTAGTGCTTCCCCCTTCCTATTTTTTCTTATTTTCTCCTCCTGGATCCCTTTGTGTTTCTGTGCCTCTCATGCATGAGCAGCAGTGACACGCTCTGTTGTGGCTCACACAGCCGGCAGTTAAGTGTCTGCCGCAAGACATGATGGAGACAGAAGGATCTCATGAGCTGTGAGTGGCAGCTGCTCCCAAACGAGATGCTGACACGGTGCTTTACACAGGCTCCAAGCCCACTGTGAGCATCCTCCGTGATGGATGAGCAGTCAGGGAGTCTGGTCCCCTTCCTTTTGGATTGTTGAGGGAGAATTGTTAAGCAAGGAGTAATGGCACCAAGTGGCTCTGCGGATCATACATCAGACCAGTCCCTTGGCAGGCCCTGAGAAGGCAACTCTATTGCGTGATATCAAAATGCACCAGCATTTGTCAGTTGATTTATCAGCTAATGTGCCAGTGCTGGTGAGTGATGATGAGCTGGGAATCAATTTGAAAACAGCATGAGTAGTTACCCAGGGAATTTGCTTCTGGTGTTGGTGACAATAAATGTCAATCTGAATTAGGGGAATATGATGGCACAAAAGGGAAAAGGAAACTCTGTGATCTTTTATGGATCCCGAGCTCTGTCTGATCTCCCATGCTTTTTATTAAACAACAATTATTTGTGGTTTATTTTAATAATAGTAATAACAAAAATATTAATAATTCATGTGTAGGATATGCAACATGATTCAGGATAGCTGTGGGCTGAGATACACTGGGCAATAGAAGGAAGGGGAGATGAAGGATGTTCTAAGTGCAGGCAGACCTGAAACGTAAATTTCTTTTAGTTCTGGCTGCTGCCACAGAACGGATCAGTGCAGCTTCTTTGTGCCTTGCTCTTTTCCATTCCAAGAGCCACAACAGATGAATTTTCTCAGACAAGGATCTGGGACAGAGCAGGTCTTCAGATCCAGCGTCTGCATGTCTGTGGCATGTTTATTCAGAAACCCAGAGAAATGCACACAGATATTAAGAGCTGGATTAAATAGTATCCAGAAAGTGTTGGTGAGAGGACTCTGCAATATATTTGCACTTAGATTATAAGATTCAACTTCTACCCCCAATATACAGATAATAAATAAGAGAGGAGGAAATATTCATATCTCTGTCACGTAGACAGAGGATCTTGAGCCATCAGACAGTTACGTGTTTTGCTCAAGACAGCAAAGAGCAGAGCCAGGACCTGTGAGTCTCTGCTTCTGGTCCTAGCCACAAACTACAAGTATAGTCTTCCATACTTTCTCATTTCTGATTTTTCTGTCTCCCATTTGCCTATGGCTCCTTTGCTAACCAAGTTTGTGATCCAGCTCTCTTGGAGGTCAGTAATACCTGCCTCAAAGCAAGCAGATGTCTGAAAGTTTGGTCTGTAGGTATCCCCTGGAAGATAATAACAAGCAGAACTTAATCCCTTCAACATCAAAGCCTGTGACTTCCTATTGACTGGTTTTTGCTAGTTCCTATAACAGGTTGGCTTTGTTCAATAAAGTTGTGTAGCAGGGATAAAAAAATCCCTCCATACTTACAGTTGTGTAAAAATCTGAACTTAAAGGTCTAAAACCCACGAATTTCAGCATTAAAAGAATGAATCTAGTGTCCATATTTTACACACCGAGTCTTCGGGGGACAATTGAATTAACTGTAATATTATTCTCCGAGATTTATTGGCTTTGCCAAAAGTAGTTTAAAATAAGTTGTCCTCTCCCTTGCACTTTATCCTCTTCCTGACCTTTCTCTTTTTGTTCCTAGAGCACAGACTCAAATCAGGGATTTTGGCTCGCTAATGGCATACAAGACATCTCCAGTTGTCCTGTTTCAATTCCCCTCCTGTCTTTGTTACACTGTAGCAATTCTTAATAGTGAACAGAGCTTTAATTTTAAAGAGCCCTTTGGAAATGTAGTCCTTAGCTAAGTTTTATTAACTTCCTCTTCTAAACGCCCTGTAGACACAGACCCAGCACTGTGTTTTCACAGCATTTACTATGGTGTCTAATTTAGTCATCAGAAATAATTCCTTCCAGTGAGTATGTAGGGAGCCAGGATGTGGCAGTCCAGGGGAGTGGGTGGGCTGAATCATTTATTTCTCTGCTGAATTTGGATGGCACAGCAGTTGCAATGACTAAATTAGATTCCTGAAGTGATGATCCTAACGTAGGCCCAGTGACCACATGCATTCAGACCAGAAACTGTTTAGTGTTTCAAAAAACCTGTTAAGTCCTTAATTTTTCCATGCCTTCTCTTCCCACTTGCCTGTTCCTTCCCCAGCCCTGATGGCAACTGGAGCCATCACTGAACATTTCCCAAGTGTTGAGCAACTGTTTTGTTTGCATTTGTACACCGGGATTTCACTGCTGTTCTCTTCAGGCTTGGAAATGCAGAAACACTTTCTGTACAGATGAAATAGGCTTTGGGGTAGGCTGACAGTGCTGTTTGCTTTCAGGTGGGAAACCTTGGACTCCTTTTCATGCTCCTCTTTTTCATCTACGCTGCTCTAGGAGTAGAGCTCTTTGGAAAACTGGGTAAGTCTCAAGCAGACCTTGCTTCAGTCAAGAGACACATGCTGGTTGGGGTTTCTTAAAATCAGAACTCCTCAATAAAGGGACTGAATTGTTTGATGGATTTTATTCTCCCTTATGCATAATTGACGTAATAGGAATTTTCCTCTAAATTGTTGTCCTAACAGCCTAACAAAGTAAAAGCAGCCTCTATTTTCTCTTACATTCTTAAACATTTGCTTTTCCTGCACTCTGTCCCTCACATTGCCTTCAAGACTACAAGAAAAAGTTTGTGAAAGTTTGTTTACATCTCTTGCCATGGAATATTGATCAAGAAGAAAGACGCTGTGAGGATCCTCCTGAGCAACAGAGTTACACTGCCTGATATCCTGGGGCTGGGCCATCAGGGATTTTTCCATACTGATTGCAAACTGTTGGGCAGGGTGCTGGTACCATTCATTACCTGAGGTCTTCAGGCTGTGAGTTCATGTTGTTGGTCTCAGGGCTGGTAGTGTGTCCTCCCCTGAAGACACACAAGTCCTCTTGTTTTTCAGTGTGCAACGATGAGAATCCCTGTGAGGGCATGAGCCGCCATGCCACCTTCGAGAACTTTGGGATGGCCTTCCTCACACTTTTCCAGGTGTCCACAGGAGACAACTGGAATGGGATCATGAAGGTAACTGGGACTTGGAGGAAAGGATATCCTACTTGTGGGGAAAGACAAACTCTGATGCCTGGATCTGTTCAGCAGAGCTTGGGCTAGCAAAGGGAAGGGGAACTGAACACAGAAACTGGGTAGCTAGATAAGACCCCTGCTTGGTGCAAAGCCTGTCTCCCCACCATGGTAACTCACACCTTGGGCTCATCTAGTCCTGGAGACATTTGATTGAGAAAAGAGCCAATTTTCCTTGGGTGGAACAAGAAAATCATTTAGGGTAAGAGGGAATATTCACTGTAGTCAGGACTACAAAGTCAAAGCTGAGCAAAGGACATGTGTGTTAGACATAGCACCCACCTGCAGAGCTACCAGGAAAATACAAATTAAATACTTTCTTTGGAGGACATGGAGAAAGGAAAGTTCTTTCATCACATATGGTGCTTTTGAGAATAGAAAAAGGAGAAGGCAGTGCCAGCCTGCTCATTTTTGGTCTTGTTCACGTGTGGGGCTATGGTGGCAGCAACATGTCATGGTCTGAAGGTTTCCTTCATATACCTTTGGATGATTTTTCTCTGAAGCAAACAGCGCATGAACAGGGAGTGTCCCAGATTCTTTGGGGACCTCATTATGCCAAAAGGTATGGGGTGATAGAAGTGTTTGCCTTTTTTTTTTCCTCTGGCATCAGTGTTTTTTGACAGAGAGAACAGCCAAGCTTCTGTTCTTACTTTAGTCTTTCCTTCCTTCCATCATTCCCTCTCAATCCCAACTTCCCCTCAAGGATACCTTGCGTGACTGCAGCCACGATGACCGGAGCTGTCTCAGCAACCTGCAGTTCATCTCCCCACTGTACTTTGTCAGCTTTGTGCTCACAGCCCAGTTTGTCCTCATCAACGTGGTGGTAGCTGTGCTCATGAAACATCTTGACGACAGCAACAAGGAGGCCCAGGAGGATGCAGAGATGGATGCTGAGCTTGAGATGGAAATTACTCATGGGCTATGCTCCCACAAGTCAGGCTCTCCAAATTCAGGACAGGGAAAAGGAGCAGGAACAGGAGGAGGTGGTGGTAGAACAGATCCTGAAGGACATCTGTGCATGAGATGTTACTCTCCAGCCCAGGTGAGTACACCATTGAACTTACTAACCAGACTGCAGCAAGGAGCTGTGGGCATTAGCTGGGTAATTCAGATGATTGAGGGCTTAGCAATAGCAGAGTCTTCCACCTCAGGGTGAAAGGTTTGCTTTCAGCAGTAGACTTTTGAGTTGATAGGATCATGTAGGGACAAGGCTATGACAGCAGTGTGTCCTGTTCATTGTCATCACGGTGTAGGAACCTGAGGGCCAGCAGAGGAGGGATGGAGCAGATCAGCTAAAGGTGTGAGAGGAGCAAATTTGAGAGGGGAGCTCAGGAGAAGAGTGCAGGAGAAATTGCAGATCGAGAGTGAGTGACTCCAGCAGAGCTGGAAGGGAGACATGAGCACTGAAAGTGAGTGAAGACTGTCCCTTCTTATTTTTTTATTTTTTTTTCATTGAACTCTGGCACCTATACACACCCTGTGGCGCAAATGTTCCCCTCAGTGATCCTGTGCAAGTACCTGCAGAACAAGATGCTGCTCCAGATGAGTCAGGGTGGAGAACCCAGCCCCAAATTCACATGAAACTTGAAAGCAAAAAACTCGACATTCTTAAAATGATCTCTCCCATCCTCCCCCCTTTCTTGTCCCCTAGGAGAACTTATGGCTGGACAGTGTCTCTTTAATTATTAAGGACTCCTTCGACGGGGAGTTAATGATCATCGATAACCTATCGGGCTCCGTCTTCCATCATTACTCCTCGCCGGCCATGTGCGAGAAGTGTAACCATGACAAGCAAGAGGTAACCTGCGTACGAGGATGTGTGAGGGGACTCTTCCCCCCAGACCTGCACACCCACACCCACGTGCCCGCAGGTCGTCCCATGTGTGCTCCTCACTGTAGATTGTGTAGACAGTAGAGCTTGTTGACCTGTGTTTGTTATCTGTTGTGAAGTGCCAGTACTGCCTCTAGCACAGGCCTGCCCTCCTCAGCCACACGTGGATGTTTGAGGTGGTGGAAAAGTGAGACGTGACAGGACACGGGTCAGGAGGGGCTGAATGACCTGTAGAGAAATGGCTATGAAGGCATCCTTGGCAGCTCTTTTTGCGTTCAATTCTGCAAGAAAAGTCTAGGTTTAGGCTCATGTTGGACAGAGGATTCTAAGGATCTCACCCCAGTGAGACCGCTCAGGAGCAATTCAGTGGGAGATTTAAGCTTGTGTTTTGTCCTCATTTTAAGCATGTGCTTGCTTATTTCCTATTGAGGTTGATCAATTAAGCACATGTTTAAATGCTTCGTTGAATAGAGTCATGTTCTGTGAGCAAGGATTGGTTTGTGGTGAAAACCAGTTAATTAGTTTGAGCAAAAACTAAATAAAAGCGGGCCCACTGAGAAAGTTTGTTAGCTGAAAAATGGGTTGTTGCTTAAGAGCAGAACTAGATGGCTTAGACTTGAGCTACTAAAGTTGCTTTGGAAAACTCCTTCCTAAGCAATTAGTCTTTTCAGGTTGTGAAACTTGAGGAGCAAAATAGTCTGGGAAGGGTTAGGTGAGTAGCAGAACTAATTTAGTTCTGAAGGAATTTTATTGTGTGTAGGTGCTCTGATTTTGTGTGGCCAGACTTGTAGCAGTAGTGTGGCTCTTCTGCCAGTCAATTGGTATGCCAGTGGCAAACTTCACCCTTCCTTCCCCATAACTGACTCAATACGTTGTAGCTTATAAAGAACGAGGAAACTTGGGAAAAGAGCTCTTATTGGCAGATCATTCTATTCATATTTGAAGAAAGCAATATTTTGTTTGGTCTCAAATGCCTAGTTCTTATGCTCTGGTATTTTGTCAGCTTCTCAGTTGTCTGCTTTTCCCCCCTGCTTCCTTTTGGAAGTATCAAAATGCAAACATTGCTGTAGTTTATCGTTATTGAGACACTTCACAAATGAATTCTACATTAATGCAACCAAATAACTACTTTTCCATTAACTGCAATTTCCATTGCTTTACTTAAGTTTTTATGTTCAGCAATTGGTGCTCAGCTTTCTCAGCAAATGAGATCTCCTAAGGCATTCCAGAGTGATTGCCCCCAAGTTAAGTCATTTGTAGCTAGTTTGCTGCATTTGAAAACCTCACAGACAGTCTTCAGTTTCCCCGCCTACGAATTAAGACAACAACCCATTTTCTTACCTTTCCAGTGAAGAAACTAGATGGCAAAATCTTCAAATGCAACCCACAGCCAGAGCGAAGAATTTGATGTAATTATCACAACTGAGGAATTATTCTTAGATCATACTTTCTAATGGCTGCTATAGAACCATAAATTAGTTTCAAAATTGGTATTTTAATACATCTCAAATGTGGAACTGAAAAGAAATTATCTCTGCAAGAATGAGTTTAGTAATAAAATACAGATGTTTTATTTTGTATCATATGAGTCAAAACTATACCTTCGGATTTTAAGCCAGGACTGATCATGACCTTCTCTTCATATTTCAAAACAGGAAAAGAAATTGAGGAAATTTAAATAATAAATCACAATATGGAGTCATAGCTAACATCAGCAATGCACACAGTTATTAAATTAGAGTGTCCTCTGGTACGTCAACATATCCAAATGAGTATTGTACACAGACTGAATTGTACAGTCCCAGAAACAGCTGACTGCAATTTACATAGGCAAAACTATTTATCTAGTCTTCTTAACTGCCTGTGTGTTAGGAAAAAAACAATGTGCTTTCTGTCCACCCTATCAGCCTTAAACCGCCGTTCTGACAAAAATCACATATTAGGCAAAACTGTCCCCTCCAATTTCATCGGTATTTTAGTTCACTGAGATGCTGAGCACAGTGGATGGACACAACATTTAAACGTATGCTCAAACTCATTAATGTGTTATTATAATTAATATTAAGCTTTTGGTGGCATTGAGCAGAAGCACGCAGTGCCTTTCCCAATTACTCTCCCGATATTTTATTTTCAAACCAATTATTTGTACAATTAAGGATTCTTGTAATTGTGAGTCTGTTTTTAAAGATATATCTGCAAGTAGTTGTTTAGGGATATGTGTGCATGGTTCAGTATCTCAGGCTGATGTTCCTGGCAGGTTTCATGGATTGGGATCTAGTGAACAGCCCCTTCTCCCCTCTGCAATTTAAAATATTTTTTTTTGCTCCTCATCTTTAGTCAGCAGATTTTAAAATATTCTGCCTTAACGGAAGCAAAAAGAACGAAACCTCATTTTTTCAAGGTGCTAAATTCTTCTCTTGTCATTTCTATCCTTTCACTCTTGGGATGGTTGACAGACTTCTGTATATGGATGACTGAAGTGCGTTTAGCCATGGTAGGAGTTTGTCAGTGAGCACCAGTGAAATGTGCTTCCACAGCTGCAGTTGATTTAGTCGTGACTTTGTTGATTGTGGATTTAGATCCCAGGCTGGTCAGAATTTTCAAGCAAGTGGTTCAGTGACAAACAGACTGTTCTGGCATTTTCTGAAATCCTTTTTTATGGATAGAAAAAGTAGCCACAGATGTTGCCACATGTCATGCTGCTGTCTCTGTAAGCACAGCTGTAAGGCTGTTTTGGTGTAGCAAGTACTTGGGAGAGTAATAGATAAGTATTAAGTCCCACATGCATTAAGTGGGACTGAATGAAGACTTCCTGCTTCTCTACAGGAGTGGTTGCTGACTGGTGGCTGTGTAGCATCCCTGGCTCACTGAGGGCTCTCTGTGCGTTCGTGCTCTGAGGAGCAGTTGTTGGTTTTGGGCTTTCTCCATGGTTGAACAGCACCATGCTCCTCTGTCAGAATAATATCTCAAATAAGGATGTCATTTGTGCACTTTATTTAAATCCAGGTCCGGTTTCCCATTCTGTTTGTTTAAAGTGCATTATCCCGATGGAGACCTCTTCCAGTCTCTGGCATTAGTGACAAGTCACTGAACTTCCAGCTCGAAAGTCAACTCTCCAAATGTTTCACCTGCTGTCATGGCGCAAGAGCTGTACCTGCCTCTTGCAAACACAAACACATGGCCAGAAGCTGTCCCGACTGAGACAACCCAGAATACAGCTCTCAAGAGTTAGCTGCTGGTGGTGCAAACTTCTGGCACTCTAGAGACCAGTGATGGAAATCCAAGCACAGGAGGGACAGAGTAACTGCTTAAGCTGGTAGAAAAAGATGCTTTTCAAGCACTGTGAGCAAGAGTTGTCAGGCAGAGGGGATTTAAAAGCTTGGAGGAAAGAGGATGGGAGAGAGGGGCACATGCGGTATGAAGCAAGGTCAGGCATGGGACTGGAGCAGAATGAGAGAGATGCAGTGGTCAGATTTGCTTTCAGAAAGCAAGAGAGCTCAAGTGTGGGTGTGTGGGAGGGCTGAGTTTAGAGACAGAGAACAGAATGGAAGACAAGTGTTAGATAAGATCTTGGTTAGGTTAGAGGAGAGGGGAAAGGCAAGATGTAGGAAAGCTGGAGAGAAACAGGGTTTCAGTAATGAAGGTAAGAGAATATGAAAAGCATGATATTGGCATGGACTGAAAAAGGCATGACTTTTCCTGGAATGAAAGCACCTTCATGTTTAAGCAGGGCTGTCTGTGGTGCCTTCAGAAAGGGGGATCCTCTCCTCATCGCTCAGCAGAGCTGGCTGCCCTGTCACCAGCCTGAGGGACCCCTCTGCCTGCCTGGCTTTACTTGCAGGGCCTTGGGCCAGCTGTATCTCTGTGACAGATACAGGACTCGTTCTTCCAATTCTGGCACTAGGGGAGCATGGACTGGTAGCAGCCTGCTTGCAATCGTATATTCAACCTTTCTTAAAAAGTGAATTCTCCTGCCCAGCCCAGGTCTGGGTTGGGCAGTTCCTGATATATCCAAGGAATATAACCTAAAACTGATCTTGGGTCTACAGGCTCTCACTTATCCACCATCAACAGTGTGACTGCTTGAAATGTGGATTCCAGGCATGACCTGTGATAGCTCCTTTCCCTTCCTGCAGGTCCAGCTGGCTGAAATGGAAGCGTTATCCCTCAACTCAGACAAGTCCTCTTCCATCCTTCTAGGAGATGAGTCAGACAATCGAAATACTGCTCAGCTGAATCCTAAGGAGATCAAGGTCAGCCTCAGAGAGCCATGGGTATCTTACACCATGTGCTGTACTTATGCCCTTGCTCGTTTCAGGTGCTCTGTATTCATCCAGGTGTCCCTGCTGAGGAATATAATTCTGGTCATTTTTCAAGAGCTTCTCCACAGAGCCATACTGTGGAGTAGGATTTGAGGAGAACAAAAGAATATGTGTATTTGAAAGTTCTCTTCACTGCTGTTAGTAACTTCCTCTGAATTAGTCAAAAGGTGATTTGGGCTGAAAAATTGAGCATCTCTTAGCTAGATTGAAGTTATTATCAGAATCAGTTCTTCTTGAGGCTTTGAAAAGTCTGCTCTATCATCTTCCATTAAATTTCAGAAAGCTTTGTCCTCACTTATTTTTTCCAGCAGGATGGCCAGGACAACCCTGACTCCACTGGGGCAGACAATGTGGAGGAAAGCCTGCTTCCAGCATCCAGTGAGGATGGCTCTGCAAACCCAGACAGTTACCTGTGTGAAATGGAGAATACTTCTTTCAACTCCGTTCAGTCTTGGCTAAAGCATGAAAGTACCAAAGGTGAGCAGGGCTCTTATTCTGCAGGTCTGCTGAAAATGTGGTTTGGTTCAGCTCTGGTTTTTCTGGTTTTCTGGTTTTCCCCTGCTTTCCCTCTGCCAGGTGGAGAGTAATTGGGGTTACACCAACCAAGAATTAGTTTTCATTTTGCTAATTTGCTTCAGGAATGGGGGGAGGAGCAGTTCCTTCATTTTTGTTGCTAGTTTTTATATCTTCCCTCAGAATGACTCTGTGAAATATTGTGGAAGTGCTGGTCCCCATTTGCAGTAGTGCAGACATGCACAGTCAGAAAAGAGTGGGGACAGATTCTCCTGACATGCCAGCTGGATGAACTGTGCTCACTCAGCACAGAAAAACACTGCTGCCCCCTGAGACCAAATAAAGGTTCAGGGAACATGTAACACATGTCTGCCCTTGGTGGAAGTGCTCCAGTTCTACTCTTGAGTGGGCCCTGGTCTCCTGTGGTCCCCAGCTTTCCCAAACCACCTCTTAATTTATCTCCCTTCATCCCTTGCCTTGCAGGATTTGGGATGAATGTCCTCTGGCAGTGATACATACTTGAATCAAGGCATTACAGCTCAGCATTCTTCTGTGAGAGCAGCAGCAGAGCTGGCCTGTTACCATATGGCTCTGAGCTGTGTTAGGTCTTCCTGGTCTGGTGCAGGTTTTTGTGAAAAAAGTGGGATCCTTAATCTGAACACCAGACTGAGGCTTCTTAGCCAGGAGTACATGTTCCTGAATATCCTTTGTTCACTGGACCTGAGACTTGGCTCAGTGTAACAGCAGCAAAGGCACAAAATAAAATCGGAGGACTCTTATTAAACTTTTTTTTTTTCTTCTATTTCTGTTCCCCTCCCCTTTCTTTTGATGCTCTCTCAGTCCCTCCCAGCCCCTTCTCTCCAGGTGCATCTTCCCCTCTGTTACCCGTACCAACAGAATTTTTCCACCCAGCCATCTCTGCCACCCAAACAGGGCCTGAGGAAGTCTCGTGTCCACACAACCTTCCAAAGATCTCCCTGCAAGGCTCGTGGGCATCACTGAGATCTCCAGGTGTGAACTGCTCACTTCTCCATCAGGTGAGGAACCCCGCTTCTGTCTGCTAGGAAAAGTCAATTTTCACATCCCACCCAACCAGAGGGGGCTGGAGGAGGAGGAGGCAGCTCTGGTCATGGGCTGGGTAACCTGGATCTGTAGCAGCAGCACAGTGGACTCCAGAATGCAGGGAGGGTAGGGGAGGAGAGAGCGTAGCATAACAAAGTGGTGTTGGATAGCTCTCACCCCGTGAAGTCGTTTGTTCTTCTGCTTTGGATCAACAGTTTGTCAGCTGCAGTGGGCCCCACATGAAGAGGAAATCACATCACTCTGTAGCTCCCCCCTGGGTCCCTGCCACTGGGTGTGCTGCAGACATCTGCATGCGCAGCAGCCATGCTGTGGGCAGGGGGTGACAGCTGCACATCCTCCTCAGGTCCTCTTAAGATTGTGACTCCAAATCATGCACCTTCTTGTTGGAATAGGCTTCTTCCCACCTGCATCCTCCACATCTCTTAGTGCCCCTTCCACACACTGTGTCCCTAAGCTCACTGTTTTGCCCTGCCCACTAAACAAACCCTTGAATCCCAGAAAGGTGCCATCTCTCCATGAAAAGACAGCTATTTCTCACTAACAAAAGAGAAAAATAAAAGCACTGGAGGGAGATCAGCTGTTTCTGAAGTGCAGAAGATGCAGAGATGAAAGCAGAGATCCCAGCTACTGTTCTTGGAAGACACTCCATGAGCAGGGGCACTCTATTCCAGACAAACTAAAAAAATAAAACCAGATGTTATCCATCTGTATATAACAGACACTGTAGGTATGATACAAATGTGTATAAATTCACCAAGGATAAATTGAGCCTTGGACTGAGACTGAGTTGTTGCAGTTTTGAAACTTCTGGTTTAAGTTAAGACACAGAAAGGTAGAGCCCTGGAGCTGGCACACCACTGGGGCAAAAGTACTGAATTATTGTAAAGGAGAAATTAGTAAACTTCTGATTATTTGACACAGAACTGTATTGAATTACTATGGAGACTGCCTCAGGAGACTGCTTCCAGTCCTACATGCATCCTTCCCAGTGCAGTGTCCCAGTGATGATTGCACAGTGCAGACCAATTTCCTAGAAACAGCTGAAATGCAGCTTAACTAGATGAGCTCTGATACAAGGAAATTAAGGCTGTTTCCTCTTCCTGCTGGAAGGGGAGCCCCCCCTTTTTACCCAAAATGAAAGAGTAGTTGCTGCTAGTGCTGGTCAAAAGAACCACGGGGCCTCTTTTCTCTCCCCAGATATTGCTGATTTTTTTAATGAGAGGAGGTCTGTACAAATCCCTTGATTCCTGTCCCGCTGATGTGGGTGTCCATATATAAACCTGTGTGGCAGGTGTATAGGGAAGCCATGAGGGAGGACCCACAGGGAACCTTTGCTCTGCTGCCTCCTGGGCCATCAGCGCTCGGGGAGAGAGCAGTGATGGGTGCTGCAGGGCTCACAGACCCGGCATCCCTTCAAGTGGAGCACTTCACGTGGGAGGGGTAAATTCATCCTGAAGCAGGATGAAATTAGCTCAAAATATCGAAACATTCCCTCCTCCTTACCCAGAAGGAAATCGCCACGGCAGGCCGCATGGCTGGCGCTTTGTAGCATTCATTGTTTGGTTTACGGCTCCCTTCCCCAGCAGAGAAGAGTGAGAGAGGAATGGAGTTTTTCCCCTTTCTGCAGTCGCGGCTTATTTTCACCCCCCAAAGCACCCCCAAAAGCCAACAAGGCGGAGTCTCTTGCCCGCTGCCCGTGTCCCTCCTGACACCTGTGTTTCCGTGCTGCCGCTCCCCAGCCCCCCGAGAGCGACCCGTCTCTGGACAGCGGCAGCAGCAGCTCGGCCGGCAGCCTGCAGACCACGCTGGAGGACAACAGCCTCAACCTCAGCGACTCTCCGCAGTGTGCCCTGGACCTGCCGGTGGCTCTGTGCCCCGTGCCGGCGGCGGGCAGCCAAAGACCCCTGGCAGCCCCCCTGTCCCCCGCCTCCCGCCGCCGGAGCCTGCGGGGCCGGGGGCTCTTCAACCTGCGGAGCCTG